ATGCAGCGTTTTCAAGGCACAGACTTAATGGTAAAGGCGAGTCAGTCTGTATAATGTGAGCGTGAATTCTTTCCTCCCTCCATCTCTGCTTCCTGCTCAGTGAATGAGTGCAAAATTAAGACAAACTCACAACATTTAATTTCCCCAGTAAGTGAAGTGACTGGTCCCCTGTGAGCATTAGCTGATTGTGAAGACCTCTCCAGTTTGTTGGAGGCTGATTGCATCCTATAAATGGATCAAATATTCACCAGTACATCATGATGTATGATAGAAAAATTTAGAGCGCATACTGTATATCAGTATGAATTCAATTTCAACTATTGCACACGCCGCTATTTGCAAACCAAACTACACACAAACTATCCAGAAGTGTAATCATTAGAAACAACTTTAAGCCACAGTTGTATAAAAGTTGCAAAAATCCTTGCAACTTTGCATTTTTGCCATCCAAACTCAGTATTACATGACCTTGGCACATCAATGATAAACCTCAGTACAGCTCATGAAAACATTTCTTATTCACTCATCCAGGCCTGTATCTCCCTGTGAAGACACTAAGGTCAAGTCATTGAATTTTTTTCTTAAGTAAGAGAACACTCTGCATAGGTTATAAAAACAGTGTGTGTGTGTGTGTGTGTGTGTGTATATATATATATATATATATATTTATTTATTTATTTCAGGCCAGTATATAAATAAAAAATCTTACTTTCCAAACAGAACCTTATTCCAGTATGCAGAATTGATGGCAACAAAAAATATTCTCCAAATTTGCTGAAACAAACATGTCTGGTATGTTGTCTTCATACTGGTTAATTTCCATACAAGGTGTATATGATTTGCATATCACTAAAATCAGTTTTATTTCCATTTCACCCTGTGCACCAACTTGTTTGAAAGTGAGTTTTATTATAGACTGTATATCGAAGATGGACAAAACCAATGCAGCAATGGGTTTTGGAGTTACTTTTTTTTGTTTGTTTTTTTTTTTGTTTTAGTTAGTAACGTTCATCTCTAGACTTAAATCACACAGATGAATATTATTTATAATTTGTGCTACATTACATACAAATAAAATGCTACACTTCTTGGATTGTCTGTAAAGCAACTGGATTAAAGAAACACAAACATGACTGAGAGGTCTGGTGCAATTACTCAGATTAGCAGAGAGTGTGGTAGTCTGCAGCTACTTAAAACTGTAATGTCCCTAAAAATTCACACTAAGCATAAATATAAAAATGAATTATCCATCCATTCTCTGCTGCCTATCCTTTTCAGGGTCGCTGGAGCCTATCCCAACTTTCTCGGGGCCACATTTGGTGTTAGTTAAACCATAAAGGCTGCATAAAATTTCCTGAAAATGTATTTTTTGTGACGTCAGCTTAAAATTTTTTGGATGCATGCGATGATTTAGCAGTCACCTATAGCGATAGGAAGGAATAAATGAGCTTTTTCTCTCTTTTTGTTTTGGCTGTCACCATATGTGAACCAAATCTTCAGGACTTGTGAAAGAAAATGTCACTGCAGCTGCTCTCTCTGTCTGAATGAGACCTACACCTCCACGGCACTGCCATTATACGCCGACACACCACTAATCATGTGCGGCTCTATAGGTCATCACTCCATTTTAGCTGGTGGTGAAATTTGCAGCTGACGATAAATTCACTGGGGGCTGTCAGTGGGCAGAGACATGCAGCTGTGTGCAGAGTGAGTTTCCTCTTTTTGGACCTGTTGGAGTTTAATTTCCGAGCAGGATAATGAGAGACGTTAGCTAAGCAGCCATCATGACACAGCGAGGTGTCTGGCTCTTTGTGTCTCAGTACAGAGTGATCATGTGCAAGTTCAGATTTATCCTCCCTTTTGTTCTGAGAGAGAACAAAGTCAGTCTGTTCAGTGCCTGCTGCCTCGCTGCGTCAACCCAAATTCATTGAAATCGCTATTGAATACCATTAACATACAACAGTCTTTGGTTGGTCTTTGTAAGGTAATGATAATGAGGTTTAAATGATGCCAAATGAAATGTTGAGACCAGCCTTTTTACTACATTTGAAAATTAACAAAAGGTGCACGGTACTCGATATAAATCACCATCATGGCTAAAAAGGACACTGAACGGCGTTTTGGTTTTTTAGAGTCGGTGGGCCTTCGTGGTCGTCTCCTGAGGAGAATCGAGGCCCTGAAGGCAGAGCAGAATGGTTCAGAAGCCCCAGATGAATTCCTGTGCCCAATCACCAGAGAGCTGATGAAGGATCCGGTCATTGCTGCAGGTTAGTTTACAAATTAAAAGCACTTGGTCCCTAGCGTCTTAAACTGAGCCAAAGATGGGGACAGCTTCACTATAAAGATTTTTACTTGTATTATCTCAGTGTATTTGGGATGTCACTGTATGTGTGCTCCACAGATGGCTATTCCTATGAGCGGGAATCTATTGAGAGCTGGATTAGAGGCAAGAATAAAACCAGCCCCATGACAAACCTTCCTCTGCAGACAACACTCCTCACCCCCAACAGGTCTCTGAAGATGGCTATAACGCGGTGGAAGTCGAACCAGGAGCTCAGAGTAGCTCAACATCTGATAACAAAAGCTGATTGAAGTAATTATGAATTTGTTCAGGGTGCTATTCAAGAGTCACATCTGGCGAAGTGATCAGAATCTGAGATCCCAGAGAAGTTGACTGATATTTATACAGTAAATAACTATTATTTTTAGCTATATTTTACATAACTCTCAAATATACTTGTATTTAAAGAGAGAATCTCTAAAGCAACACTGTAACTATGCAATTTTAATGTGCCTTTAAAAAAATAAAGTGAAGTACAACTCAAAATCCTTTTTTTTTTTTTATAAAAAGAATAAAATGGGTTTGCTTTCACAGCCTTATTTGGACTGGCATGACTATTAGCATATCGCTAATGGAGGCTGATGCTAGAACTTTAGATTTACTGCATTTATCTGTGCAACTGGCATCACGTGTTTTTGACTGTGACTTGAGTTAGCATTATCAAAAATCGGTCATTATTTGGCTAATATTCAGCAACCTTTATATAATCTTACTCCAGTTATTAATTACTTACTAAGTACTATAGTGTGACATTTTAAAACCTACTGTAGCTTTACTCTGTTACTAACAGCTTGCAGTGGTTTATTCTAGCTCAGTAATTCTGGAAGATGCCATGTAAAACTGAATGCTGTTGTTTAAAAATCATCGTTGGGTCATAATGAAACTCCCACGAGGGTAAACCAATAGCTCACCCCCCACTAACCAACCATAGACTTAGCTTCTTGGTTTCAGTGGTGAAGATGGTGCATCTTAAACATGCAATAGTTGCAATGCCCAATTTTCAGGTATCGGTATTTTACTTGACTAGTTCTTTTTCTGGCATCTTTTCACATTTACTCCCTACATTTTCTTTTTAAAGGTAAAGATTGCTCAGTGGTATCTGATAAACTGGAAATTTAAAGCTTACATGCAAGTACTCAGTAATCAAATATTATTTTTAACACTACTATCTGTACAGAATGTCTGTACTTTTACAAGCTTAGGTCACCACAGGGAAAACAGCCACCGGAGGCCGTGGCATGACTAAAATGTATTGCAATTGTGTGCAACAAACTTAAACTCTTTTGAGTTTGAAATGGTTGTTTGGATTCAGGAGCCAGGTCTACACCCACTTGCAGTCAGTTGATGTCCTCAAAGTGATTTCAAGAAGGTGATAAAACGGCCATCGAAAGTTAGTAGCACCCTGTTGTCAGTTTGCAACGTAGTAGGACCAAGTTGGCATTTGTGTGCGATAGGTTTGTGATCAGAGTGATCACAAGTGTGATACATCAGCAAAAATGATCAATCTTTTGCCCTCTACATGGACAAGAAACTCATATGAACGGTTTAAATTCAGAGTCCAACCAGAACCTAATTGAGTTAAAACAGGAATTCCTGCACAAATATTGACTTAGCTGTTTCAGGATGGTGATTTACTGCAAAATGACACTCACCTTGCTATTACATAGGAAAATAACCAGATTACAAGCAACTGAGTGTTGGCAATCTGTCAGCGTTTATAAATTAGACTGCAGTTATTTGCAAACTTTTGCCAGTCTGTCTGAAGCGATTGCAATCAGTCTGAGTCAGACCATAATTGTTTGGAGATAATTGGTCTTCCACCAGGAAACCTGTGCGATCGCCTTGGTCACTCAAGTTAAGCATGCAACGCTCTCAATCTCTGAGCGACCGGCTGGTTGCCAGTTGCTTGCAATCGGCACAATTTAAGACCATCACTGGGAAACCGGCAATTGTTTTCTAGTTAGGTTCCCACCCTGTCTTTTAAAAATTCTTTTTTGTTCTAACATTACATACACCAGTCCTACGCACGCATCTATGACACACTTGATGGACACTGACACATTACAGGTAAAGCTAAGCTAATCCTAGCTCCATTTAAATACATTGCATTTCAGAGATATTTCACTAAATTTACTCCACATATAAAAAGAAATACTTTGAAAGGAATATATGAATGTTCAATTACTATTTGTGTACAATAGCTTCCAATTAGAGCACTGCTAAAATCTTACATGCTGCAATAAAAGAATGCACGAAGAAGAAACTTACCGTCCTGAAGAATCTGTTTTGCAACCGTTTTCTATACCTTATCTTTAAATTCAGTGTCCTCATTCAACACCGTACACTGGCTTATTTCCCGTGTGCAGCTTCAGTTTTTGATTAGGCTGATAAAGTGTGGAGCTTCTAAAGCAAATACAGCAGAAATTCAGAAGAGGAAAAATCTTCAGCTTCTATGGAAATAGTCTCACTGGCTCTAGTAGCTTTTAATTCTTTGGCTAATGTATGTGGAAAATGGCGTGTATAGGACAAGTTGAGCTATGTTAATCTGCTGAACTGCTTTCAACTGTGACCACATGGTAGAGTTATGTTTACACTCCTGTAGATCTTTATGACCGATGCTTCACCAAATCAGCCCAAAGGATAAAAGTGAACAGAGCAATTTTGTTTCCTCAGTGGGTCTTTATTTCTCTCTCCCATGGTAGCTATGGCAAAAACGTTCAATTACAGTATGTGATCACAGCTAATAAAGCTCACAATACTGAAAACATGGCAACAATTGCATTTAATGTACATAATAAAATAGAACTGATGGCACTGAGTCCCCAAACCATTTTTCTGCTTTTATAGACTTTTTTCCACTCTGTAATATAAACTGCAATTGAAGCATGCACTTAAATCTCAACACTGAGAATCATAAAATGTCTTAGTAGCTGTGCAAAAATAACTATATAAAATATATTGCTTTTACAATTAACCAAGCCATTGGCGCTGTAAATAAATTAAACTAGACAGCAACAACAAGCAGATACAGAAAGGAATTCAATTCAGTGTTAATGGTGATTTTATATAATGTACAAACATATTTAACAAATGCTTTTTTGTTTTTTGTTTTAGAACCTTTAACACCATTTGAACAACATTGTGCCTAAAACTCGAGATACACAAGTCGGAACTTGTCAATACACTTAACATGGACCTTCACTGAAAAGAAGGAAAAGTACATATTTATATAATATACACAACATGAGGATCTATAACGTCCTTCGTAAAACACAGGAATGCCCGTCCCTTAAACCCTCTGAACGTTTCACCGGGGACTACGTCTTCCTTCACATCCATTTATTTTGTGCACACTTTGCTCTTTTGCAAATTTAAACAGATGAATGAGAGGCTTCGGTGTCTGATTTTCAATGAAATTACAAAGAACTCAGCAAATGTGTTTGCACTTTGTCATTTTTGGGCTACTGAGTGTAAAATGACAATTTGATTCAAATTGAATTAAAAGCAATTGCAGCAAAGTGTGCAGAAAACAAAGGGTTCTCAATCATTTTTAAAGAGACCGTATTTCTTTGCTCTCAGCACCATGGACGTAAATGAATTACTCTGTAATAACATTAAGCTGTAACTGAATATGTTGTTTAAGCACTTGCTAACTGTGTAAAGTGCTCATTGCCACCGTTTTGTTGATCAGGACTGTAGAGTACATGTCTGGATACTTCCTTCAGTGCTTTGTCTCCAGCCTGGCTGAACGACGACGGACATGTCATGTAACAAAAGCTGACAGCCAGAAGCGGCAGATTGGGACGAGTAAAAATTTGGAGCCTTCTGCACGCTGCTTGGTGCCTGAATTCCCGGGAAAACAAACAGCTTGCAAACTGTACTCCTTATAAGACTTAACGTCAGACTGCACTCTGGGGTTGGTTAAAAAATATGAAACAAGTCCCTCTCACTTTAGATTTTTCCTTGTGTCTGTGCGCGTGTGCGTTAAGGATTGTAAGAGAGATAAAAGACGCTTGTCTACACATTCGACTCTATAAATGATCGCTTTGGTTTCATTGAAGCTACGTGAATGGCAGGATTATCTCGAGCTAGGCCAGGCTGCTTAGGCTTACTGTCCATTAACGTGTGTGGCATAGCCAGTGCTGGCTTGGACTCTTTGTAACAGTTGGCAGCTTGGCAGAACTTCTCTGCAAATTCCTTGGCATGCATGCCATTTTGTAAGCTACTCATCGCCATACCACCCTGAGGTGGTGGAGGTTTGTGCTGCTCCTGGTATGAGCTCGCCGTTTTGCCGTCGACAGATTGCAGGCCCATTGTCGACATGTTGTGACACACGAGGCCGTCGGAGGAGTGGTTCAGCCAGCTGCGACCGATAGACTGCAGGCTCGGGTGACTCTGCAAGCCGTGGTGCTGCTGCTGTTGAATCTGCTGCTGCTGCTGTTGCTGAAAACGGGCTGTCTTGTCGGTTATGCCCATGAAGGGCCTGGGTTTGTACTCGGCTGCGGCGCTGCCCTGTTGGCTGTGCTTTGTTTTGTCAGTGATCTTGGTGCGAACGTCAGGACCTAGCTTGCCGCTGTCTGACAGGCTGCTGCTTGATGCCAGGCTGCTGGTGGAACTAGACACACGCATGCTGCTGCTGCCACCGCCTCCCTGAGATCCCGCTGCAGCGCACATCCCTTCCTTTCCAGACTCTGAGTGATTCCCCTGGAATCCAGGACCAGAGCAGGCCAAGCCATCCAAGGACGATGCGGAGTGGGCAGACAGCCTGTCTTGGCCCAGACCTTTAGAGTTGCTGCAGGATGAGTAAGAGGCTTGAGAGGAGTGGAGACTCTCACTTTCACAACTGTGACCTATGGAAGAGGAGGCAGCTGCCAGCAACATGCGGTTTCCATACATGGGCTCGTCAGCTGGGGTGGGCAGAGGGCCGATGTCGATACCTGGGCCCGGCTTCAGCATGCTGGACATGTGTCGGCTGGGTAACGGACTGGAGGGAGCGTACTGAGATTTGGCCCCTGCCGAGCGACCCCCCACGGCTCCTCCCCCGGTCTGCATGGAACTCATGTGCTGATTGGTCTTGACAATTTGGGCTTGCTTGGTTGGCTGCAGGACCAGCCCCTGTTGAGGCAGGGCATCCCGGTGCTCACGAGGGTACCTGTGAGGAGGAAGCCTGCTGGGGCCTGGGGGTGAGCTGGGGCTCAGACTCTGATTCTGGTGTCCCACACTGATGCTGGCAGCCGCTGACTCAGAGGGTAAGACTTTGTTAAAAGAGTAACTGCTCTGGGACCAGCAGGCTTCACCTGTCCTGTCATGCTGCATGGCATCCTCCTCCTCTTCCTCCTCTTCAAGAATATCTCTTTGGCCTTCTACACTCCTAGCAAGGCTGTGCTCTGAGGGGTCGTCCTGCCCTTCGTCTTGCTCCTGGTCAGACTCGTGGCCTCCTGATGCCTGGCTGGATGCAGCTGCAGCCCCACCGAGGCCTCCTTTGGTCTGAGTTCGCTGCATCTGTTTACATTCGTCCTCCACTCGAGCCAGCAGACGGCGGATTTCCCGGTTATTGGGACACAGCTTGGCTGCTTCATGTAAGTCAGCTAAGGCTGCTGTAAACTGCCTGTGAATGGAGAGAGGCATTGTAACCCGAGGCATAAATAAAATAAAAACATCAACACAACGCTGGTCTGGAGTTACTGAACCGCTTACCTGCTGCTTCTTTTAGCTCTGGCACGGGCATAGTAGGCCTCATAGGATTTGGGTTTCAGCTCCAGCGCTTTTGTTGCAAACTCCTCAGCCATCCCAAAATCCTACAGCCGAGGCAAAAAAACAAAACGGATAAATGATTTTGAACCAGTTGTTATTCTCTTCTTGCTATAGTGATAATGGAAACCAGTATACACTACTTAGTTCCTGTCACAGAGTAGAACATCTGTGACTTACTTCATTTTATGTCACAGTTTTCTTGCTTTGAGTGCATTTTTTCCCCTTTTTGTCTGTTTTGTATCACACACACAAACAATGTTTCCAAACACTATATGACGGCTGACTGCGATCCACGCAACATCTCTCTCACACTTTATACTCCCCATGTGAAGTGATAAAATGCCTGGCAGGCACCCCAGGTAGTTAGTTTATTGTAGAAAACACACAACCTTGTGCCGCCTGTTTATCTTCTTGCTTGCGGCATGTAATTGCACAAACAGCTGGCTCACTACAAACGTCTTCCTGCTAGACTTGGGCTTTGGACTGTAAACAAAACTAAATCTGCAGAAACTATTATCTGGGGGGAAAATAACCCAAAACCTTTCATATGTTCACATTTTCATGATGCTTTCTTTGGTGTCATTTTCAAAATGCACATCCCAGCTTAAATATTACTCCATCATTCTGTAAAACATGAGTGAGCGGAGAAGCTGACATTAGAACTGTCTGGGTCTGAGTCACCTACCGAGCACATCTGCACCCTTCTCCCACCCCTACCACCCATGTTACCAGCTAAACACTAACAAGCCTTCTTGTGTCTGCACATACTCAAACCACAGCAGAGTCACAGATTTCCTCCTTTCCTTTCTATACAGTAATATATGCATACAATACTGTGCAAAGGTCTTGAGTGGGGCCTTATTATTATTTTTTTTAATAGTTTAATAGAGAAATGTGCACATTGATTGAAACATGTGCAACTACACAAGGAAACAAGCATTGAAGTCAACATTTGGTGTGACCACCTTTATTCTTCGACACAGCCTGAACTTTCTTAGGTTCAAGTTGTGTTGAAGAATGCAGTTTCCAGGCTTCTTGAAGATCATTCAAAGCTCTTCTTTGCATGTTGGTTGACTTTTGGTCCATTCTCTGTCAAGATGATCCCACGCTGCTTCAGTCTTGTTGAGGTCTGGGCTCTGTGGAGGCCAGTCCATGACTGATTGAGTTCCACTGGGTGTTTCTTTTTCTGTCCAGGCATGCTTTTACTGCACTAGTAAGTTGTTTGGGATCATTGTCATGCTAAAAAAAAAATCAGGGTGCTGCCATGGTTTACATGGTGGATGAAAACTTGTTGTGACAAGAAAATACTGACTGAAATCCAGCCCTAAACCACGACCCAGCTTTCACTGTGTTTTACAAATATCCTGACCTCCCACAGATATCTTTACATTGATTTGAGCCCAAAATTGAAATATCGATTAAGGGTTCACGACATTTGCACAGTATATCAATAACAATATTATTACACATTCATAAATAAATATGAATGAAGAAGAAATCAAAGTCTCTTGAGAGACGTACATTGGTTTTCCTGCGACAGCGGGAGAGATTGAGGTACAGGGAGACCCTCAGGTCTTTAAATGCCTTCAGTTCATCACCGAAGCCTTCTCTGGGAAACTTCCTCAGGGCGTACTGGTACCTCTGGGCTGCCTCTTTCATCTTCCCTTTCTGCAGGACACATGAAGGGCAAACACGTGGTGAGGAAGAGGAGAGAACCAAAGGAAAAGCGGAATAATGTAGGGGAGAGAAGCAGGCCAAGGCATCCACCAGATACTCCCACAATAGCTGTTCTCTGGCTCAAGTCCTCCCTTCTCATCAATCACACATACAACAAACAGACAAGCTCAGATAAGACGCGCACACACACACACACACTAACAAGTTACACATGACAGGTTTGTCCTTTCTGCTGCAAACTCAATCTGTTAAATGTCAGACATCGATCACGGCACCTTTGTTGAGTGCTATGAAACATGCACATCGATTCATTGTCTACATTTATCTAAGCAAGAAAAAAACCATCCTTCTCCACTCCTTTTTATAAAAAAGATTGGAGGAGCCATGTCTGTGTTTTTTTTAAGCATTTCATTAAAACAGGAAAATCATCTTTACTGTCGAGAGGAATCAGTTTCTATTTCAGATACCTTGTAAAGCAGGTTTCCTTCCTCCATCAGCTTCTGAAGGAGGATGATGAGGATGTCAGGCTTTGAAGTAGCCATGGCCCAAGCAGCGTTCCCTGCGGAAGCAGAAGGCAATTCATGGTGCCGTTTTCAGCTTGAACAGACGGACATCGTATTCTCTTTAATTTGGTACAAGGTAAAGTTACCTAAAGATTGTACCTGATCGATCATAAGGAGACGTTCTGTAGCCTTAAGTTTATTGAGGCCAGTTAACAGTTAGGAGGAAGAGAAGAGAGGTCATGCGACAGGAAGGGTTGTTATTTGAAGCGAAAGCAAATTGTGTTACAAAGTGCAGTGTGACAATATACAATTATGGCTCACTTAAGTTGAAATGATGTCACATTTTCATCAGTAAATGCACGCTGACTGCGCCGAGGAAAATTTAAAGGTTCAGCTCTATTTTTTTTCTCCAAGACAGCAGAGTGCGCTGAAGATAAGCTGCAGAAATGTAGCTTTATGAATGTCATTTGGGTGATAAGTCACATTCTTAAATTAGCCAAGCAGCTCATCAGGGAGAAATGGGACCGACATACTCTTTATAGTTAGGGTACACACACGCACGCACGCCCACAGTGAGTGAAAAGCAGGAATGGAAACAGTTTTCCCACGACATTCCACAAATTTTGTCTGATTGTATTTAGTACCATGAGATACAGAAGAGGGCAGAAACAAACCCGACATAGAAACGTAACAAAATACTGTCTTTCTGTGTTTACTGAGATGTGACAGTACTCTGCGGGCACTTTGTAGAAACCACAGGCGTAAAGCTGTCCAAAGAGGGTTGTACAAACTGGTACTGGTTTCCCTCACTCACTAGTCTCAATTTGACATGTTGGTAATAAATATACAAAATACAGCTTTAAGCAGTTTCACCCTTAGTCAAGGCATTTTTTAAGAGTTCTTACCCAGCTTTGCTCCTTTCTTTAATAGAGTCACCACCACTGACGTGTTCCTACAACCTATGGCCCGGTCCAGAGGCCTCATCCCACTGTGGTCCACATGCTCTATCACTGCTCCTCTTTCCACCAAATACTGGACCTATAGGAGGCCACAGATGGTTAAGAAAACATGAACAATGCATCCACAGTCAAGAGTGCAGCTAACTCACAACAGTATGTGTTCAATAACCTTAGTGGAAGGTTAATTAAGGCTAAATAAAGATTGGGACGTGTGGTGTTTTTGTGTCTCTAAGGATATTGGAGGGGGTGTGTGTGTTTCAGCAAATTTAAAACAATTTCACTCACAATCTCTGCGTCTCCATAGAAGGCAGCGAGGTCCAGTGGAGTTCGTCCGTTTTTGTCCGTGTGGTCGATGACCGCACCCTTCTCTACCAAAAACTGCACCACATTCTTATGTCCTTTTAAACATGCCCAGCTCAGGGGCGTCAGTCCCTCCTTGTCCATCGACGTTAAAGATGCACCTTTAAGACCAATGGAAAAAACAAACAAACAGTTGTTTCATATGAACACACTGTTGACTACAACTAGCTAACTGGCATATGATGCTTTGGTGCACCGCTCACCTTTAGAAAGCAGAAACTCCACAGTACTCAGGTGACCCTCACAAGCGGCCACCATGAGCAGGGTCCTGCCCTGCTTGTCACTGATGTTAATGTCAGCACCATTCTGTAGCAGCAGCTCTGCAATCTAACACACAGGCGAATAAGGTTCAGCTATACAGAGCTCACGCGCAGCGTTATTTAAGAAAGCAGGAGACTGTGAGGGCAGGACACATAATGCAATCAAATGCCACACGTTTGGAGAAAGATGCCACTGTGTAACTGTAGTTGGAAGCAGTGTTGTTATTTGTAACCACTCAGAAACTCTCACCTGCCAGTGTCCTTGTCTGACCGCGCAGAAGAGAGGAGACACCCCCCGCCTGTTGACCTGCTGCACCACCGCCCCCTGCTCCAACAGAAAGCTGCATACCTCCATCTTGCCACGACCGGCTGCAGCCGTCAAGGCTAAAGTGAGGAAAGGGGACACAGGCACTTCTTCAGACACATTTACTTATTAATATATCGTAAAAGAAACACTTTGAAAGCGAACAAAATGTGTCCAGTACACAGTGTTGTTTGCTGCTAATAAAGAGGCATCCAATGTCTTTAGTACCCTTGAAGTACTGTGTACGGCTCAGATAGAAACAGTGACTCCAGAATCTCTGGAAAAATAAGGAGTGTAAGCTGCAGCGTGCTACTAATTGACTTTAAATCAGATAATTATGTTTATGCTTATTAAACTCATTAAATTCCTGCCTCAAGTTCCCCCGGCCTTGTACAAAGAGATGAGAATTCAGTCATTTCATGCATCAGCAGACAAACATTAGACAAGAAAAATCCAGCAACTGTGTTAAATGCCCGTTCTTGTTTACGTTTTGTATCTTCCTCAAACCGAGATTAACTGGAATTAGCCAATTAATTTTAAAGAAAAGGAACTCAAACGCTGTATTAATTGATGCTTGTAAAGAAAAGAGATTCTTCAAGTGTTGGATGCTTACAGTTCGTCAGCAGATGGACTGGTCTTAAATGAGTGCTGGTTATCCAAACAAAGAGGGATCCAACGTTAAGAATCGGAGCAGCTTTGCTCTCACAAAGATTTAAGGTGCCGCTAAGCCTTCTTGTCTCTCTGACATCATCCATCTGGATGAACAGTCATCAGAGCCAACCAATCCCAGCCTCCATCTGCTCAAAATATGGATATCCTCTCACACGGCACAGAGCAGAACAATGACTCTAAGGAACTAAACTTAGGCTGTGCTTGTTCTCAAGGGAGCGGCGTTAGCCAGAGTGGGGATGGTAGTGGCCTACAATGAACATATAATCAGCAGCTCAAGAGCTGCACTCTTCATGTTTTTACACGTTATTCTTAGAAGTTCTTCATCCTCAGAGACCTTTCCATATATTGATGAGGGTATTTATTCGAACCTTCAAAGTAAGAGCTTCTACAGAAGATTATCAACATTCCTACTCACAGAATAAGGAGCTCCTTTTCTAACTTTTATTGTTTTAGAGCGACTTGCAAAGATATCCTTCCTTATCTTGTGTTTTGAAAGCTATTCATCTCAGCTCTCCTGCATTTCACCTCTCCTCTTCCTATCCGTGCAGACCACCTACAAGCCACCTTCAAAGCGTCTTTAAATCACTTTGATAGACTAGGTAAACGTATAATAGCCCTATTCTGCAACCAGGCTGGCAGAGCTCAAGACACACCAACAACAGAGAGGTCGTGACCTGACATTTTAAGCAAAGCTTTGCAGATAAAAAAAAAAAAAAGAAAGAAAAAAGCTGGAACTCTTTTTTTTTTTTATTTTTTCTCAAAACAATGCCAAATGCCTTTCTAACCACAGTAAGGAATATTTCAGTTTGTCCATGCTTGTGCCTGTAATAGTTTCAGAACAAGAACTGTTCAGAGTTTCATTAAAAAACCTGACAGACTGTCAATTTAAGAAAAAAACACGGTTGCAGGAAAATGATGAAAGACAATCCAGACAATGGTTTTGAACAATTATCACTTGGTTTTGCCTGTTCAACAGCTTGTTGAAGGCAGCTGCAACTCAAATAACCACCCCTTAAAACCAAGGTATGCAGAAGAGCATCTTTAAACACACACACCGTGTCAAACCTTGAAGCAGATGGGCTACAGCAGCAGAAAACCACACTATGTGCCAGCTAAGAACAGGAAACAGAGGTTCAAGATTCTCACTAAAATTGGTTCTGCTGCAACGTTCAGACGACAGGGTCACAATTTGGCATAAACAACAAGAATGCATCCATTCTTGTATCAACAGTTTAAGCTGCTGGTGGTGTAATGGTGAGACCCAACCCACCGTACATGAGTAACGACACGGCAAACATGAGTATTACTGCTGACCATCCCTTTATGATCACACTGCTTCCAGCAGGATGACATGCTGTGTCACAAAGCTCAATTATTTTCAAATTCTTGAACATGAAAATGAATTCACTTTACTCAAATGATTACAATTTCTTCATGAAGACCGAGCTTGAAAGTGTAGCTTAATTCCCGGCTGTATTTCTTTAAGTAAACCAAACTTCCTGATTCTTGGATAACTGATATTGTCCTTGTCGCTTTGCCCCTTCAACATCTTCCTCTGGGGTCAAGAATCCTGCTGTTTGATCATAGCTTTGCAATTCAGGGACTAAGACCACAAAATACTAAAGCTTGTGCTAGACAAAAAAGTATTTAAATAAAGTCGACATAGGGACAACATCATGGTGGATGAAAGGATCTTGCAAGATTTTCACCCAAGGAACTGGGGGTTCACTTCCCAAATAAACGGTAGTATCTACTTCATTTGCAATTATAGAAAAAGACCAAAATATGTAACAAAAATTGCTTTTATGCAAAACAACAATGCTGTGGCTCTTTGCCACAAGCCAGTCATGCTTACAACAACTAGAATGACTCTTTGCAGGTAAATTGCCTTTCTTTGCATAACAGGGAGGTTTATTGCATCCTAAGAGGGGACTTTAAAAGATAGAGTTTGCACAGATGTACAATCAAATCTTCTTCTATTTAAACACAAGAGACAGCAGGTCTATTTGCAGTGAGATGTAATACTCCGATGAATTTTAAACACGCTATAACATTTCACACATCGTTATGAGAGGAGCGTTTCTGAGGCAACGACAAAAGGCTGGTTTTCAAGGGGATATTTCTGAATTTTCTTTTTCGCTTTCCATCTTCTCTGCATCACAGCACAACAATTGGATTAATAAACCTGCAGCTGAATAGCAGCAAAGGGATTTCAAATATTGCTTCATCGCTAATAATTTCTGGTGTTTGTATCTAGTCATTTCTAGACAGTGCAGCCACTCCACCACTAAATATTCAATTTATGTCTGCAGCAAAATTCCAGCTTTTTTTATTCATTTTTTCCCCCCCAAGCATGACTGAGTGGAGACAAATCTACATTGTGGTCATAACTGTGTTTACTGTTGTTTACAGATTTAATCCCCTTGAATACAGATGAGCCAGGATCACAGTTTTAATGAGTGCCAGGTGGGTGCAAAAATATGTTAATTCAAGGTCAGGTCAAGGGGTTAAGACTCACTGTGTTTCAGGTCAGCGGAGCCACAGCTCTGACTACTGCCACCTGTGACCCACTATGTTATTACTTTAGAAGGAAGAGGTGAGGTGATAGCAATGATTAAACATCCACTTTGTTAAAAAGAGCTGAAAGTCAAATACTGGAAGGCCACGTGTACTATTGGATTTTACTTTGCTCCAAGCAGATCTAATCTACATTTCAGAGGGAAAGATCTTTGTCCCAGGCCAGCACTGCAAAATCATCTGAAGCAGTCATTTAACAGAGAACAAGCAGCAGTTAGCCACACTTTGGACAACCTCTCCACTAAGAAGCTGACCTACATTCTTAAAGCAGCCAACTTTGAATGCTAAATCCTGCTGGGTTAGAGTTGAGAGACACACAAAGAGAATTCTTCTTTATACATATTCTACTATGACTGCAGCGACAACTAATACTGTTGTCTAATGCTATCTGGACACTTGACTCTCAGGGCAGATGTTCATAATGATGATGACAAAAATGTGGCCAATGTTTTAACACAACCTGCACTAATGATTGTGAGGAATATTGAAGCTCTAACACCACATGTGTCTCATTCTTACATAATGCATCACAAGTATTACTAGGATCAATGAAAAATAAAGCATAGCTGTGCTTTTTAACCATCTGTATTGAACATCTGGATCTCTGCACTGTGACATAAAATAGAAATCTTATGTAGTACATAAAATTTTTCCCTTTCTCCATCACAGATTATAGACATTCGAAAAACGTCAAACACTTAAAAACTGAAGACAATCTTTTTCGTCTCGTATTTTAAAAATGGCGTCAGGTGGTTGCTGTCAGTGCCTCTGTCAGTGCGCCCCAGGGTGGCTGTGGCTACAATGTAGCTTGCCATCACCAGTGTGTGAATGTGTGGATGACTGGATATGTAAAGCGCTTTGGGGTCCTTAAGGACTAGTAAAGCGCTATATAAATACAGGCCATTTACCATGCTGTGCACGTGATGAAATTGTATGTTTAATGATTTTTTTCCCTGCCATTATTCAGATTGAAGACTCGTGGAACACAAGTAATAACATGATTAAGTACTCACTCTAATGCGATTACTGAGTTCAGCAAAAGTAATGAGTTACCGTTAAAATACTGCATTAAAGACAAAGTAGTAATGCTTTAATGGCTAAAAATTATGATGCATGAACGCTTCCCGGCCAATGCAGCCTTGCAGTCTGCTGTATCATTTCTGTCAGACAACCTTCAAGTAACCCGTCTTAAATCTGACAGCCACCTTCTGCTTTTCCGACTTCATGCCGTTTCCTGCAGCACCACATGGCTTTTTGCTTTGACTCCTCAATCACTTTCAAATGAAAACAAACTGTCCCACAGAGGGAAGGACAAACTTTTAAAAAGTCCAAAATAATCCTTTCAGGGAAAACAAAACAGGAACTACTACTCATTCTAAATCTGAGTGGGACTAGCAGCGTATAAAACCAACTGTGGAGTCGACGCTGTTGTTTTAACATAAAGCACCGAGGCAATACTGTTCCTAAAATTCAGTGGGACAATTTTTCTAAAAAAAAAGAAAAAATAAAAAAAAAGGAAAATACTGTGTGGACTGAATTCCAAGCAGAAAGCTACACGACAAGAGTAAGTAATGCTTTTACCAGAAAGTACAGCACAGGAGGACTTACAACAGCCATTAAAATGCACCCACATTTGGGTTGAGCGACCTCTGCATCAAACAGAGAGCATTACTGTGGAGAGCACAGATACAGGACTTTCCACTGCAGCATTCAATTACAGCAGTGTGGTTCAGAATGCAAAAACAGCTGGTGATAGTACAAAAGAGCCGTGTAATGCAAAAAGATTGATGAGAACATACCTGTCTCTCCCCACAGTGTGTCATGACTATCAATTTGCACAGCGTGCTCATTATTCAACGCCAGCAAGCCTCTCACAACCTGCCAAAAAAGAAACTTAGATTAATGACATGCTGTTTCAGCAGAAAAAAAAAAAGAATCAAATAAACCTTTGAGAGGTTACAGTATACAAAATGCTAATCTTAAAAAACATTAACAAAAACGCGCATTCAAATAGTTGAACTTTAAAAGGGTCTTTTCTGCATGCAGGTTGACTTCACTTGGCCCAGTTATGTTATTCTAATCCAGGCCTTGGGAGCCAATTCCAGCTAACGAGGGAGCCAAACTAAACCTTGAGCCTACATCTCACCGGGGCAGCTGAAGGCGCTGCACTGTTATCGATTGTGAATCTACATGCAATTCTGAACAGTACTTCTGGCTTTGAGTCATATTCACAGAGAACGCTGTGTGCTCATTTTTATTTTATATATCTATAGTTCCTTCTGATCTTTAAAAAAAAAATAAATCAGAAATTCTTTGTGAAGGCTGTTGTGAAACCATGCAAGAAAGAAAAGGTCTTGTCTCACTATTAAAACTGGAAAAACCAGGATTCCTGTGTGGCTTAAAGTATGTTTTTTTGTACATCCATGTTTTCTTTCTTTTGTAGCGAGAAACAGTACAAAAAAAAGGGCATTTATGTCTATGGATCTGGTAAAATACATGCATGTGTGTCAGTCAGACCTGTGTGTGCCCCATGCTCGAGGCTGCAATCAAAGCCTGCTGCAGAGCTTTGCTCTTCAGAGAGCAGTCCTGCTGCTGCCCCTCAGCACTCCATTCTAGCTCCAGCAGGTACTGGATAATCTCAAGGTGTCCTCGTAGGGCAGCATGGACCAGAGCACACTGGCCACTCTTATCTACATGATCAACCTGGCAAAAAGAAGATTCTTGGTTTTAATAAACAGAAACAGCAAAAACCTGTGAGGTAAATGTACCGTATGCATGGTTCAGACGCATTTTTCAAATTTAAGTAATTTTTACGCACTTTCAAAGTCCATTATCAAGCTTTTCCAGTACATTACCAAAAAAAAAATGAATGTTTCAATTTGCATTACCTCAATAAGACCATGTAAAAATTGAAACAAATCATCTTAGGTCGACTTAAAAGTCCTTTGTTCTCCTTTTGTTAAAACAGAGAAAAATGCACCACACGAAAACACTGAAAAAGGAAATGGTTGATTTATATGCATATAGTGTACAAACTCAAAACACATATTTCTCTTAAAACAGAAAGATGTGCAAATGTGAACAAATCAACTTAAAGATATTCATCTCCACTTGACAAAAAACAACAACCACACAAAACAAGAAAACTGCACAAATTAATAAGTCTTTAATAATTAATAATAATTAATAATTTTTGTGACACAAAAATAGGAGACAGATGTTTGTTATTTTAACTAGTTAAGCACACATGCCCAGAGAAATGGGGGGAAAAGGGAGGAGACCACGTTTAATCGATTATAACACGAGGTCAGAAATATAAGTGCTGACATGAGTAGTGTCCACAGAAACCTCTGAATCTCAGCTAAAAACTCATGTAAACCATGTCTACAAACACCAAACAAAGCAAAGACACCAGACAGTTAAAAGAGCAGTTACTGCACCATGAATCTGTGGACAGGTAATATCCCTATTTTGATTTATGATTTTCTGGAGTTAAATGTGAACCAAAGCATATTTTCAAAGGTGTTATATGCTATAAAATACTTTTAAAAATTAGGTGAGGGAAATAAAAAATCATTTTTTCTATGTTTGAGTCACAGTAACTTTGACATAGTAACATCTGCAGTAATATTTACAGCTCTGATGACATCTCACCAGCGTTAGCTTTATTTTGACACCAAGACTGTTTACACAGAGTTTGTAATTGCAGAGAAATACATTTATTTTGGTCATTTCCTTTTCAAGCAGGAAGCTCACCCTTCTTGGTATACCCTTTAGATGAATACAGAGTTTTTAATTAAATACATTTTCTTTAAATAATGTTCCCTTTTAGAAAAAGTAGGATAATTAAAAAAAACAAAACATTTATTATACCTCTGTCACGTAGAAAAAAACCTGTCTTTTTTCTGTGGTCTGTTATATAACATTAGGGGTGTTCGTGGCAATTAACTTTTTAATCGACTAAGCGGGTCAAGTAAGAAACACTTAAATATTAAGTTACATTTGAAAACTGTTTAAAAAAAAACATATCCCCATTTCACATTCCAAAATGTCATGTGACAATCTGATTGGCTTAGGAGTGATGATGTCACAAGGATGTCACAAGGATGTCACAAGGATCCTTTGAAGTTTTTCTATAAATAGGGGTGAGAAACAGCAATTTTCAGTTCGTTTCTTCGCAGCCTTTGTGTTTGCAGCCTTCAAACGTTGACTACAGAAAAATTTGGAAACCTCTCAGAGTCATCGGATACAAACGCCAACATGTATCCAAGATTACGGCAACCGAGACAAAAAGATTTCGCCGCCTCTCCTTCCACGCGTGGCCGGCCAATTTCTCCAAATGGCCTCTTATCCATCCAAAGGGCATTACAGGAGAGTAGGAATGAAAACAACCATCTCCAGAACAAAATTCGACAAATTGAAGAAGAAAAACGTCACCTGGAGAAGAAGTGCTTACAGATGGAAGCACAAAACAAACACCTGGAAGAAACACTACAGCGCCAGCCCAACATCAACATTATTAATGAGGGCTGGGGGATCAAGTTTGCTCAAGCCAGAGAGCAGATTGTATCCCTCATCAAAGAAAACAAGAAAAAGAGCGCTGAAGTTAAAGAAATGTCCGAGCAGCTTCAAGGCAGGAAAGCGACGATTGATAAAATGGAGTGGGATCTGCAATACATGGACCAAATGAATCACCTGCTCCAAAGAAAGCTTGATGAAGCTGAAGAAAAAAATAAAGAAGTCCTCCAACAGAAGGAACAACAGGACACAAAGCAAAAAGACCTGCAGCGCGAGCTCCAAGGCATGCAGGAAAAGTACAGAATGGTGAAGGCAGAGTTGGAACAAACATTGGTCCAAAATAAAGACCTCCTTCAAGAGAAAGAGCAACAGAAAGAAAGACTGCCAGAAGAAAAGTGCATTATCAAGGACTTTGAGAGTAAAAATCAAAAGTTGCAAGGATTCTGTGATGAACTGAAGGTCAAAACAAGTGAGCTGGAGGGAGAAAAGGAAACACTAGAAAAACGATGCTCACACATGCAGAAAAAGATTGATCACATGGCCAAAAACAACTCAGAGCTCATTAAGGGGATATTGTTGGAATTCAACAACTTGAAGCGGGAAAACACAGAAATGCAGGCCCAAAAGCAAAAACAAGACAAAACGCATGAGGACCTGCAGTGTACGCTCCGCGATATCCAGAAAAGAAATGAGCAGCTAGAAGGCCTGCACAAAGAAGATCAAGTGAGAAATGCAGACCTGCAGAAGGCAAAGCTGACACAGGAGGCAACATCCAAAGACCTCAAAGAAAAGCTTGAAGAAACACAAGCAACATTAGAACAGGTGGAACAAACATGCAAGAAACTAGAGAGGCAAAACACAGAAACCATCGATGAGTTGAGAACCCTCATCCTGGACAAAAAGGCGCTCGTGGAAAAGTCCATGAAAAAGAAGAAAAGATTCTTCAGCTTTTTCCGGTAGAGGGACAATACTGCTTCTTCAACTGATGTAGCCTCGTCTTGCTCCACCTCTGTTCACCCCCCAACCAGTCCCGGCAGTTGACTGCCCCCTCCTGAGCCTGGTTCTGCCGGAGGTTTCTGCCCGTTTAAAGGCAGTTTTTCCTCCCCACTGTCGCCTAGTGCTTGCTCAGAGGGGATTGTTGGGGTTTTCTCTCCTCTACCTTGTTTCGTTATTTACTTGTTAACTTTTTGCTCTTACCTCATTTAACCTTGTTTCTTTATTTACTTGTTAACTTTTTGCTCTTACTTCGTTTTACCTTGTTTCGTTATTTACTTGTTAACTTTTTGAACTTACCTCATTTAACCTTGTTTCGTTATTTACTTGTTAACTTTTTGAACTTACTTCGTTTTACCTTGTTTCTTTATTTACTTGTTAACTTTTTGAACTTACTTCATTTAACCTTGTTTCGTTATTTACTTGTTAACTTTTTGAACTTACCTCATTTAACCTTGTTTCTTTATTTACTTGTTAACTTTTTGAACTTACTTCGTTTTACCTTGTTTCGTTATTTACTTGTTAACTTTTTGAACTTACTTCGTTTTACCTTGTTTCGTTATTTACTTGCTTGTTTAACTTTTTTTCAACTTATCTAACAAAATAAAACAGTTGAATTTATCCTTTGAGTATTGTTCATCTATTCTTTACAGAGTTTTTCCAAAACACTTTCAAACATTCAGATCTGTCTTTCATTTTCTTCTTGAAACCTCATGAACGGTGAACTAAAAACTCTGGAACATGGTTTGAAACACTGAAATTGTTTCAGCTGAAACTGGCAAAGTCATACGTGCGTGTGTGAGTGTCACAGGTGATATGGTGTCATTAGTCAGGTCATCATGTTTAGGCTCATTCACTCCAGAATTATTTAGGCCAAATCTTTAAAACAGTGTCACTGCACACACATTTCAATCACACAAACGCAGGATTAATTCTTTGCAGTATTTTATCTGTTTTATTATGAGAATGTCACGCCTGATCATTTGCACCCACAACATCAAAAATGGGGGCAAAAGGGAGGAGACCACGTTTAATCGATTATAACACGAGGTCAGAAATATAAGTGCTGACATGAGTAGTGTCCACAGAAACCTCTGAATCTCAGCTAAAAACTCATGTAAACCATGTCTACAAACACCAAACAAAGCAAAGACACCAGACAGTTAAAAGAGCAGTTACTGCACCATGAATCTGTGGACAGGTAATATCCATATTTTGATTTATGATTTTCTGGAGTTAAATGTGAACCAAAGCATATTTTCAAAGGTGTTATATGCTATAAAATACTTTTAAATATTAGGTGAGGGAAATAAAAAATCTATTTTTCTATGTTTGAGTCACAGTAACTTTGACATAGTAACATCTGCAGTAATATTTACAGCTCTGATGACATCTCACCAGTGTTAGCTTTATTTTGACACCAAGACTGTTTACACAGAGTTTGTAATTGCAGAGAAATACATTTATTTTGGTCATTTCCTTTTCAAGCAGGAAGCTCACCCTTCTTGGTATACCCTTTAGATGAATACAGAGTTTTTAATTAAATACATTTTCTTTAAATAATGTTCCCTTTTAGAAAAAGTAGGATAATTAAAAAAACAAAACATTTATTATAGCTCTGTCACGTAGAAAAAAACCTGTCCTTTTTCTGTGGTCTGTTATATAACATTAGGGGTGTTCGTGGCAATTAACTTTTTAATCGACTAAGCGGGTCAAGTAAGAAACACTTAAATATTAAGTTACATTTGAAAAGTGTTTAAAAAAAAACATATCCCCATTTCACATTCCAAAATGTCATGTGACAATCTGATTGGCTTAGGAGTGATGATGTCACAAGGATGTCACAAGGATGTCACAAGGATCCTTTGAAGTTTTTCTATAAATAGGGGTGAGAAACAGCAATTTTCAGTTCGTTTCTTCGCAGCCTTTGTGTTTGCAGCCTTCAAACGTTCACTACAGAAAAATTTGGAAACCTCTCAGAGTCATCGGATACAAACGCCAACATGTATCCAAGATTACGGCAACCGAGACAAAAAGATTTCGCCGCCTCTCCTTCCACGCGTGGCCGGCCAATTTCTCCAAATGGCCTCTTATCCATCCAAAGGGCATTACAGGAGAGTAGGAATGAAAACAACCATCTCCAGAACAAAATTCGACAAATTGAAGAAGAAAAACGTCACCTGGAGAAGAAG